TCACTCAACCAGAGAGAGCTTATAGTATAACATGACACAGTTTATATATAGAAATTAGGTTTTTTGGAATGTAAGCTGCTTCTATCTAAAACTTTTTTTTGTACTAAGTTAAACATCTTTGAGCCTCTAATTGAAGTTGTAAAGCACGTTGAGACGAATCTAATGGTTGAATTGTCAAAATTAGTCTTGTAGATCATGAGATATCTTCAAAAATGTTTCACCGACTATGTAAACTTCTCTTTCAACAATAGTATTGTTGAAAGAGAAGTTTATATAGTCGGTGAAACGGTTTTGAAGATATCTCATGATCTACAAGGCCGATTTTGATGATTCAACTACCATTAGATTCGTCTCAACGAGCTCTACAACTTCAATTAGAGGCCTAAAGATGATTAACTTAGTACGAAAAAAAGTTTTAGATAGAAGCAGCTCATATTCCAAAACCCTAATTTCTATATTACGAGCTTTCTCTGGTTGAGTTACAAATCACTAATTAAAATATTATAGCTATATAGTATATTTGCTATATAAATAAAAAAGTATAGCAACTATATAAATACTATATACTATATATACTATATAAGATTTGGGACTTGGGATTGGGATTTGTCTAGTTTTGATATATGGGATTTTTAGATATGATTGGACAATCCCATTTTTCCAGGTTTGTCCATGAAAAAATCCCAAATCCCAAACATTTGTCCAGCATGTATACCCGTAGCTTAGTGGTTAAGCTCTCAAACCTTACAGATAAGGTTAACGGTTCAAGTCAGGCTAGTAGCAAATTTTAAATTTGTTACTATAATTTATGGAATCATAATCAGACATGAAGCTTTGTGGAAAGTCCAAGTGCAAGTATAGTTCTGGAATAGAAATTCCTGGAAGGAGCCCTAATTATGAAGTACAGGCACTATGTGTAATAGCAGCGACACAGAAGATCTAGGTTGTAGAAGATTGTGTGAGTAAGTCCTCTGGTTGGGGTAACTAAAGAGGCAATACCAATATCCTATTACCTCTGTATGTGACAATACCAACATCCCTGCACCCAACTTGTGGGGTACTTGCTTGGAAGAATAATCAATGGATTGTGCATATAAGTCCCAATATAGTTGGTATTGGGTACTTGCTTGGAAGGGTGATATGATACTATCGAAACTGGAATGGTGAGAGAAGCGGTGAATATGTGAAAGGGCTGTAGTAAAGAATTGGCCTTATCTAAATTAGAAGCACCTCTGGTACTGTGAAGCAACTAACTAAAAAAAGTAATCTTATAGAGGCAGACTAGCTAATCTAGTATGTCTAAAGGTACTAAGTCAGAGCTCTGGTCATATCTATATGGAAGTCAATGACGAAAGATGCCAGAATATACTAACAATAATACAACACTAACTAATAAGAAGATCAAGTTAGAAGTCAAGGTGAATTGGGGTATGCCTCCTAGTAACATGACGCAAGGCCTACGGTTAGAAATAGAGCTGCTTACCACTTAAGGAATTTCGTGGTGTTAGGCTGGTCTTTAACAAGATAGGTTATTAAAGTAGTATTACAAAATATAGTTCTGGTAATATACCATATGAGAAAGTACAAACAGGTTAGTTAGTACTACTATATCAGAAAAAAATATTAAGTCTTGAGATAGGCAAACCAGCGGCGGCAGCAGAACTTGGCTTAAGATACGGATTAGTAGTACCTAGGCTGATAAGTGAGAGGGTTCATTGTAAATAATATAGAGTAATCTGACAGTATAATACCAACTCAGTCATGTGGTGAACCTAACTAGGCAGCAAGTTTCTGGCTTGAGATACGGGCTGTAGAAAGGCCATCTTTACCAATTACGGTTGTACTAATAGAATCCGTAAAGAGACTTGCAGTAGATCGTATTTGCAGATATACCAAATTGGAAGCTCATTAGAAGCGAGTACTCAACGTACCAAATTGGAAGTTATGACTGGTTACGTGAGACATGGAGGAATATAGTGATTACTGGAAATAGATAGTTGTAAAGCAAAAATCTAGGTGAGATATGTATGGGGCATAGAACATTCTAGTAGATTTAGGTTATAGATAAAGTAGTCTAAGTCTCTGTAGTTCATAAAAATTAATGTATATGTAATTGTAATTGAGCGATAAAGTATATGTTAATAAAAACCAGAGATATGACCTCACCTTGATATTAAAAAAAAAAAAAAAACAATTACAATATTTTAATTACTGGGTATGTATAGAATTACTGCTATTTGACTTTATACTTGTGATGATTTACTAACTACAGATTCATCTAATTGTAACTCTGATTCATATTCTTTCTTATGTATTGGTTTATGCTCTTCCTCATGCATTGGTTTATGCTCTTTCTTATACATTGGTTTATATTCTTCTCAACGTATAGATTCATAATCTTTCTCATAAGAAGATATAGATAGAGTTGACATTACAAAGAAATAAATGTTTGTTTCAAAAAAAAAAAAAAAAAACATAAAAGACAAAAAAAAAAAGGATTGTATAAGACTTATTTAAAAAGATCATATAAAACTTATTTAATAAGATCATATGAAATTTATTTAAAAAATAATGTAAATCTTGTTGAAGCAAGTAACAATTTTTTTTTTATCATTTTGATTAGCATACTTATATATATTATTACTGACCAATAAGCATACAGTATAGTATCAGGTATTTGATTTAAACCTTTATGTGAATCTGAATTCGACGGATCTTATAAATCATAGATCTGGGTCTGATCTGATAGGTCGGATCTGATTCAGATTTGAATTTTTGGACCAGATCTGTAGAACACTACCACCCACTTCGAAGTCAGCTGATTTCTAGAAGCCTCTATACAGATATATTAGTATTTTTATTTTTATCATAATCAAATTGAAAAGTTTTTATAATATTAGAACCTAATAAGTCAAAAAAAAAAGCAATAATTCATAATAATCTTCTTTTTGATCTATATATATCTTTAGATATAATTTCTTTAAAGTCTATATCTTTAAAACATCAAATACAACTATTTAAAGATATTCACCTATATATATATAACCTATATAAATATAAATTATGTTTTGTTTCAAATAAAAATAATGAAAATTCGGATTCAAATTAACTAGATTATTATGCTATTGCTAATAGCTACCTATTAATTTGCTAGTTTATTTAATTTTAAATATTATAATAGTTAATCTTAAAAATCATACAATATAAATATATTAATATCAAACTGTCTCTACTTTTACATAATAAAGTTCAAACTTATAGAGTTTATGAGATATATATTATAGTTATTATCTTTTTGATTAATTTAACTTGAAAGTAAGACATAAAATTAACAATTAAATTGGATTTTTTAAAAAAGTTTAATACTATATATATATACAGTATATATGGGCTAAATCTGAGAAAAGAGACAAATTGACAAAAAAAAAAGATCTTTAGAAAATCAATTTTCATATTATAAATCTTATCCCTTAAATTGTAATACAGGCAAATTTGCTTGCGTTTATTTTTTTAATCTCTAATTTTTTGATAAAATCTTAAATATTAATTTTAACAATATACTTTCTAAGTAAAATATATTTTTAAAGATCTACTTTATTAACTTT